ATGGGAGTACAACCCAAGGGAGAGATTGGATAGCAATAGTGGAGCACAACCTACCAAGTGTGGTAAAAAAAAATTGCCAAATCTAAGGCATTGCGGGAAATCACTGGAAGGATGGGAAGACAGCCTGGATCACATTCAAAGAGTATGGACAAACTCAAGAGAGAGGACAAAATACGGATCATGGTGGAAACTGGACCACTTGGATAATCAAACAGGAGTGAAACAAGTATAAGTGGTACCAAAAAAGACCCAGAAGAGAATACCGAAACTCCAATGGCAAAGAGAACTCGTCTACAGGAAAACGGAAAGAATCAACAACAACAAGTTCTTAAATTTATTATTACAAACGCCAACTTAGTTGGCGGTCCCTAATGGGGGAGAGAGCCATACATATATCCAAATACATTTATGTATATGTACCTGTGTGAGAACACACACACACAAACAAAAAATACACGCACACAAACACGAATATACCCACCCACAGTAAAGCCCACTGCAATTCCTACACAAACCAACCCCCAACGATGACTTTGAACAACCAAGAGAAGATCCAAGAGAGGGAAATAAGCAACATATGATGACTTGCGGGAAAGTCGTTCGCGGAATATATATCGGCCCAGGTTTCTTCATTATCATTATCATCATTGTATCACCATTGCTGTTGTTTCGTTTGTTATTACCATTATTGTTAATATCATTGATTATAATATCATCATTTTTATCATCACAATTAATACCTAACCAAGATTCATTTATGCTAAAGTAAAATTAGTTCATTTGACAAAAATAATTTAGAATTAACGCTGTCTGCATATAATACAATGACGCAGAATAGTCTACCCTATACTTTATTGTTTTCTATGTACAAAGAATTCAATCAAAGAAAACGTATTAATGATCATGTATAACTCTTGTTTTTACAGGAAATAAAGCCTTCGAAATAAACAGAATGAGCCTAACAAAGACTAAAACCAGTGTGGTATAACAGCCTTACAATATCAGGAAAAAAATGTTCGTCTACGTGCGTGCGTGCAATTTACATTTCACTTCTATGTATAAACGTATAGAGCACACAAACCTATATTGCTAATATGTATAATCTCATGATAGAATCAGCAACATAGGCATGAAAAAATCAATCTATCTTTTAACTCATATCATTTGTACTGTTATTTTAATTAACGTATCATCATTGTTTCCTTTCCATCTGTCTGTTCATGCAATAATTTTATTTTTTACTGAAACTATACTTCAATTATACGACAAATTTGAAGTTTATACTGCGGTGTTTTCTTTATTACTGCATTCTTATTTCATGTGACTGCGAACTTAAAGTCAGAGCATTTTTGTGCAAGATGGGTTGATAAATGACAATATAAATTGAAAGGTACATTTACACACGCGCGCGCACGTTAATCATATTAAGAATCTATATCAGAATCCTATTCAGACTATCATTATATGTAGTCATTACCATAATTATTATTATTGTTGACATCATTATAATAATTATTACTGTAATTATTATTATTGTCACTTAGCATTATTAATATTACTATTATAATCATTCTCATTATTACCGTCGTTTTTGTTAGTGGTAGTAGTACTATCATTATTAACACCATCTGTATTAGTTATTACCATAATTGTTATTATTGTTGACATCATTATACTAATTATTGTTATATCATTATTATTTTTATTATTAATGTTCTTGTTAGTAGTAGTAGTACTATCGTTATTATCATCATCTGTATTAGTTATTACCATAATTGTTATTGTTGTTGACATCATTATACTAATTATTTGTAATTTCATTATTATCATTATTATTATCTTACCTTATAATCATTCTCATTATCATCATTTCTATTATTTCTATCCTTAATGTTCTTGTTAGAAGTAGTAGTACTATCATTATTATCACCATCTTTATTATCCTTCTTCGAGGCAAGAACATTGTACTGAAATAGTCACACCGTCACTTTATGCACATTTATTATCAACACGACTATCCGAGGGAGAGGGTTTATGAAGGGAGGTAGGAGGAGGAGGAAGAAGGGGAAGGAGGAAGGGGGTAGAGGGAGTAAGGAGAGGGAAGGAGGCTTAAAGAGAAAAGGGGAGATGGGGAAGGGGAAACAAAGGGGACTGAAAGAGGAAAAGGGGGAAAGGGGTGGGAGGGGTGAGGGGGGGAGGAGAGGGAACGAAATATATAGTGAATATAAGGGAGATTTGGGAGTAAGAGAATGAGAGAGCGGGGATGAGAATCCCAGAGGGAGAAGCAGAGAGAAAAAAGGAAAGGTAGAAAGAGGAGAAAAGAGAGAGAGAGGAGTAACTTTTTTTCTCTTTCTATTTCACTGCTCCGTGGAATTTCCGTGCTAGTCATCGCTATTATCATGATAATTATTATTGTTATTATCATTATCGTTGTTGTTTTTGCTGTTATTATTATTGTTATTGTGGTTATTACTGTTACTTTTATCATTATATTTATCATTTTCATTGCTATTACTGTTATTAACAAATTTGTTGTCATTGTCACTATCATCATCATCATTAGTGTTATTATCATCATTAATATTATCATCATGATCATCATCAGTATTACCATCCTATTTCTTAGCATACTTACCATCAACCACCATTCCCAACAATACTAAAATCATCATTACTATCTCCTATGCCATCATATCGCCATTCTATCACCCGTCACTGTCACCTTTCTTATCTCCCTTCTCACTATTCCTCACATTATCTTATCATTCTTATGTTAGACGCTATTTCACGGTATAACCCTTTAGCTTGGACATGACTCAGCGAAACGGCAATGGGAAGGTCACAGGGAGTTTACACTGAAGAGTCAACATGCTTAGTCATCGCAGGTTGCGGGTTTGTTGGGACGAGAGAGAGAGGGGGGAGGGGGGAGGGGGAGGAGGGAGAGGAGGGAGGGAGAAAGGGAGGGAGGAAGGAAGAGGGAGAGGGGGAAAGGAAAGAAGGGAGAGATAGACAGAGAGAGAGAGGGGGAAGGGAAAGAGGGAGGGGGGGAGAGGGAGAGAGAGGGAGAGGGGGAGGTAAAGAGAAAGAGAGAGAGGGAGGAAGAGGGAGAGAGAGAGAGAGAGAGAGAGAGAGAGAGAGAGAGGAGAGAGAGAGAGAGAGAGAGAGAGAGAGAGAGAGAGAGAGAGAGAGAGAGAGAGAGAGAGAGAGAGAGAGAGAGAGAGAGAGAGAGAGAGAGAGAGAGAGAGAGAGAGAGAGAGAGAGAGAGAGGAGAGAGAGGAGAGAGAGAGAGAGAGAGAGAGAGAGAGAGAGAGAGAGAGAGAGAGAGAGAGAGAGAGAGAGAGAGAGAGAGAGAGAGAGAGAGAGAGAGAGAGAGAGAGAGAGAGAGAGAGAGAGAGAGAGAGAGAGAGAGAGAGAGAGAGAGAGAGAGAGAGAAAGAAGAAAGAGAAGAGAGGAGAGGGAGAAAGAGGGAAGAGAAAGGGGAGGAGTAGGAGACGGGAAAGGATAGAAGGAAGGAGGGAGGCGGGGATGGAGGGGAGGAAAAAATGAGGGGGAAATATAGAGAAAGGGGGGGGAGGCGAGAGGGAGGAGGGTGAGAGAGAGAGAGAGATGAGAGAGAGAGAGAGAGAGAGAGAGAGAGAGAGAGAGAGAGAGAGAGAGAAGAGAAGGAAGAGAGAGAGAGAGAGAGAGAAGATAGAGAGAGGAGGAGAGAGAGAGAGAGAGGAAGAGAGGAGGAGAGAAGAGAAGAGAGAAGAGAGGGAGGAGGAGGGAGAGTAAGAAACAGGAAAAAGGACGAGGAGGAGAAACATAAAAAAGAGAAAAAAAAGAGAAAAAACAGAGAAAATAAAAGAAATAAAGATAAAGAAAGAGGAGAGGAAGCATAGAAAGAAGAAAGAGAAGACAGCAAGTCATGCACAAAAAAAAGAAAATACTAAGAAATAAGAGGAAAGAGAGAGAAAAGGAGAGAGAAGAGAGAAGGAGAGAAGAAAAGAGAGAAGAGAGAGGCCAGAGAGACATAGAGAGAGAAGGAGAGAGAGAGAGAAAGAGAGAGAGAGAGAGAGAGGAGAGAGAGAGAGAGAGAGAGGAGAGAGAGAGAGAGAGAGGAGAGAGAGGGAGGGGGAGGAGGGAAGGGAGGGAGGGAGAGAGAGAGGACAGAAGAAAAAAACAAAGTCATGAAATCATAAAAAGAGATAAGTAAAATAGAATACCAGAATAACATAATGATTTTCGATGATAGCATGAATGACAGTGACATCGACCATATGAAGGGGCTGGAATAGGAAAACTATGAGCGACAGCAAGTCATGCACAAAAAAAAAGAAAATACTTAAGGAAAATTTTACATAGGCAGTAAGAGATGGAGTCACTGGTTAGAAAAAAGGAGAGAGAGAGAGAAAGAGAGAGAGAGAAGGAGAGGAGAGAAGAGAGAGACAGACAGAGAGAAGACAGACGGAAGAATAAACCAAAGTTACTAAAATCATAAAATTACCAAAAAAAAAAAAAAAAAAATCAGCAAATAAAATGATGCGAAGAAACAGAACCAAAGATAAAAAAAAATTGATGATAATAGCATGCCAAGATGAATATTAAATGATATATCAGAAGACATCAACCATAGGAAATAGGAAAGTATGAGCGACAGCAAGTCATGAGACAATAGACAGACAGATGGAGAGAGAGAGAGAGAGAGAGACAGAAACAGAGAGAAAGAGGGGAGAGAGAGCCATACATACATTTATATACATTTATGTATGTGCCTGTGTGAGAACACACATACACACGCACAAACAAACAAACACACGCACGCACACAACACAACACACAAACACACACACCACAAACAAACACACACACAAACAAACACACACAACACGCTCGCACACACACACACACACAACCACAAACAAAAACACACGCACACGCACAAACATACCACCCACAGTAAAGCCCACTGCAATTCCTACACAAACCAACCCCCAACGATGACTTTGAACAACCAAGAGAAGATCCAGGAGGGAGAAATGAGCAACATATGATGACTTGCGGGAAAGTCGTTCACGGAATATATATTGAGCGGATTTGCCCATGCTTCTTCAGTTGCGTTTGAGACGTCGGAAGGGGAGGTGCACGATGAGCGACAAACATTTAGCTGCTGGTGAGACTTGGGAGACATTCTTGTGGTTGTTGTTGTTAAATTCCTTTGCTTATTTTGTGTTCTTGTTGATATAGCTGTTGTTTTGGTTTATTTTGGTGGCGATGATGTAGGTATTACTATAATTGTTGAAATTGATTATAACCATTATAATCATTATTGCTGGAATTATTATTGTTATATCATTATAATCATTATTGCTGGAATTATTATTGTTATATCATTGTTATCATCATTACTATCATTACCATTATAATCATTTTCATCATTATTGTTTTTATTACCATTACTATCACACACACACACACACACACATATATATATATATAATATATATATATATATATATATATATATAATATATATATATATATATATGTGTGTGTGTGTGCATGTGTGTATGTATATAATTTTCATAGTATATATACACTAATCATACACAAAATAGTATGAAAATATAACTTGACATAGCAAGCGATTCCCACATTCACCTCTTCACAAAATCCCCACAAGCCTCTTAATAATCGCATGTTTTGAATTTCCATAATTTTAACCCCCCCCCCTCCCTTTCCTCCCCCAGGGTCGACATGCCCCCCCCTGCACCCCGGGGTATTGAGGTGCTATAGCATGCGGTATTGCCCCTTCGCCCAGCGCACTCGGTTGGTCCTCGACGTCAAGGGGGCCAAGTAATTTTTTTTTTTCTTTTCGTTGTTTTCTGTGACTGTTTTTTTTTTTTTTTTTTTGTCTTGGTGGTATTTTTTCTTGATTTGTTTCCTTTTTTTTTTTTGTTAAGTTTTTTTTTTATTTTCGTTTTTTTTCTGTAATTTTTTTTTTTCTGTCTTTGGTATTTTTCTTGATTTGTTTTCTTTTTTTGTTAAGTGTTTTTCTTCTTTTTTTTTCTTTTTGTTTGGTCTGTCTGTCTTTCTCTCTCTCTCTCTCTCTCTCTCTCTCTCTCTCTCTCTCTCTCTCTCTCTCTCTCTCTCTCTCTCTCTCTTTTCTCTCTCTTCTCTCTCTCTCTCTCTTTCTCTCTCTCTCTCTCTCTCCTTTTCCTTTTTTACTTCTTTCGATTGTTCTTAGTCTCTCTGTTTATCTTTTTTATTATTATTATTTTTTTTTTTGGTTTCTTTCAGTCTTTATCTGTCTGCATTTTTCTTTCTCTAACTCTTTCTCTCTCTCTCTCTCTCTCTCTCTCTCTCTCTCTCTCTCTATATATATATATATATATATATATATATATATATAGATAGATAGATAGATAGTAGATGTGCATATATATATTTCCCTAGAGTTAAATATCGAGCCATTAACAAGTACCATAATTGTCCCCAATCAATAAAACCATTATCCAATGAAACTATAAACAACCTCCTTTTTTGTTTACATTTCAGCTTCGAAATCGTCAACATCAATTTGCAGAACAAACCCGACTGGTTCTTGGCCAAAAATCCTTTAGGGAAAGTGCCAGCGCTGGAGATAGACGGAGAAACAATATTCGAATCTGACATTTTGTGCGATTATCTGGACGAGTTGTACCCTGAGCCCGCGCTTTACCCTAAGGATCCCTGGAAGAAGGCTAATGACCGCGTCTATGTAGAGCTTTGGTCAAAGGTGAGGGATCGTGGTTATAAATCTTGTTTTGGGTGTTATATCTATTCGTTATTTTTTTGCAAGTTTTATGTGGTTAATTGTTACATATATATTACACATATGTGCGTATGCCTGTCTATTTATTAGTCTATATATACATATACTGCATATATACATGTGTACACACACATGGGTATATATATATATATATATATATATATATATATATATATATATATATATATATATATATATATTGCCATGATTTTCTTCATTACTGTCATTATATAATTATCATTGTTTAATCATCATTATTATCATCATTATCATAATCAACATCATTATCATTATCATTTCTCTCCACAGGTATATGCACCTATGTACAAGATCTATTTCGCAAAGGGAGACAAGCAGGTGATAGCAAAGGCATTTGAAGAATTCCTGTCTGGTCTGGATATCTTCGAGACCGAACTGGCCAGGCGAGGGACCACTTACTTCGGGGGAGAGAAACCAGGTAAGCGTGAGAGACCGAAAAAAATATTGGTGAGAGAAACGCTTTTATTCAGAGACATTTCGGACACATTTTTCGGTGGAGCGGAGAAGCGGTGATGCACGAGAAAGCACGTCGGTGATTGGCTACTGCACGAGAAAGCACTGGCTTGCACGAGAAAGCACGTCGGTGATTGGCTACTGCACGAGAAAGCACGTCGGTGATTGGCTACTGCACGAGAAAGCGGTGATTGGCGCACGAGAGAGCACGGAACTGCACGAAAAGCACGTCGGTGATTGGCTGCACGAGAAAGCACGTCGGTGATTGGCTACGCACGAGAAAGACGTCGGTGATTGGCTACTGCACGAGAAAGCACGTCGGTGATTGGCTACTGCACGAGAAAGCAATGGCTACTGCACGAGAAAGCGCGTCGGTGATTGGCTACTGCACGAGAAAGCGCGTCGGTGATTGGCTGTTGCACGAGAAAGCACGTCGGTGATTGGCTACTGCACGAGAGAGCACGTCGGTGATTGGCTGTTGCACGAGAAAGCACGTCGGTGATTGGCTACTGCACGAGAAAGCACGTCGGTGATTGGCTATTGCACGAGAAAGCACGTCGGTGATTGGCTACTGCACGAGAAAGCACGTCGGTGATTGGCTTGCACGAGAAAGCAACTGGCTACTGCACGAGAAAGCACGTCGGTGATTGGCTACTGCACGAGAAGCACGCTACTGCACGAGAAAGCACGTCGGTGATTGGCTACTGCACGAGAAAGCACGTCGGTGATTGGCTACTGCACGAGAAAGCACGTCGGTGATTGGCTGTTGCACGAGAAACGTCGGTGATGGCTACTGCACGAGAAAGCCGTCGGTGATTGGCTACTGCACGAGAAAGCACGTCGGTGATTGGCTACTGCACGAGAAAAGCACGTCGGTGATTGGCTACACGAGAAAGCACGTCGTAAGCACGAGAAAGCACGTCGGTGATTGGCTATTGCACGAGAAAGCACGTCGGTGATTGGCTACTGCACGAGAAAGTGCGTCGGTGAGCACGAGAAAGCACGTCGGTGATTGGCTACAGCACGAGAAAGCGCGTTGGTGATTGGCTACTGCACGAGAAAGCACGTCGGTGATTGGCTACTGCACGAGAAAGCACGTCGCTACTGCACGAGAAAGCAATTGGCTACTGCACGCACGAAACAAAGCACGTCGGTGATTGGCTATTGCACGAGAAAGCACGTCGCTTGTCTATTGGCTACTGCACGAGAAAGATTGGCTACTGCACGAGAAAGCACGTCGGTGATTGGCTACTGCACGAGAAATTGGCTACTGCACGAGAAAGCACGTCGGTGATTGGCTACTGCACGAGAAAGCACGTCGGTGATTGGCTGATGGGCGCGAGATGCCGGAACTCCAGGTCTGCCCTTCCGTAAAATGTGTCCGAAATGAGCAACTGTGTAGAAGGTTTATGAACTTGAAATACGACGAAAATGATTTTGAGTTGATATTCAAATCCAGTCGAAATTCTATTCAAATACTCTTAAAATAGATAAAAATCATGTTCTACCCATGCATCTCATTTTAGTTATTTTATTCATTTATTTATCAATTATTATATTATTATTATCATTATCATGTATCTAATCATTATTTATCTATATATCTATTCATTTCATTTATTTATTAATTCTCATTATCACTATCTTAATTTTCATCATCATTATCATGTATCTTATTATCATCAGTCATCTAGATATCTATTTATTTATTTACTTATCTATGTATCCCTTTATTTGTTTATTATTTTCTTTCGTTACAGCCATGCTAGACTACATGATCTGGCCTCATTCCGAAAGGTTTTCCATGTTGTCTCTGCTTGCTGGTGACGGCCATGAGATTCCACAACATCGATACCCAAATATGGTAATAAAATGTAATTGTATTTTTTTTAATTTTTTATTATTTATTTATTCTTATTATTTATTTATTCATTTTATTGTTTTTTCTTTTTATTGCTGGTTTATTTTACTTTTCCCAATTACAGGTAAGAAAATTTTGACGCTTTTTCAATTCTTGTCCCCTTGTATCTGCTAATATAAATAGATAGATAGATTAGCAGATAGACAGATAGATAATCGACAGACATATATATAGCAGAACTAAGATTTTCACAAGATCGAATGATCAAATATGAAAACGGTATCTGATAAAGCAGACAGATATTACTTCACTTTAATGTAAGCCATTTTTCTCTTTGTTGATATGATAAGAAGATATGACATTTTAAAATCAAAGTCGAAATCTTCCGAACACTAATAATTATTAATTATTCGCTTTTCTACCTTGTTCTCTATTTTTTATCCCTCAGTTTTCCTGGATTGATCGAATGAAGGAAGATCCAGCGGTGAAGAAGATATATTTTACGCCCGAGGAACATTTAAAATTTGTTGAAGGACTAATTGGCGGGAATCCTCCCTTTGACGGGTAGCAGTGACGTCATCGCGGATCTGAACGAAGGGATTATTAGTCTTCTTTATCTTTATTTTTCTTTCTTTTGTTAGCTCCCCCCCCCCTATCTCTCTCTCTCTCTCTCTC